AAAGTCTGCAATGTGTGGCCATCTAAGGCACTAGTTCCCTGTTAACCAGTGGCCCACGTGTGTGGCTTTGTTTTTACAAGACATAGAATTGCAGAGTCACAGGATAATACCACTGAAAATATTGGGAGAGGTGGCATCTTCAAACAATGGAATGTAGTTCTGCAATTATAACTTTTTTATAAAAACATTTTTAAAAACTATCTAAATTCATAAAAATTAACTTTTGTAGAACTTTAGATATTCCCTAGTTGTAGCAATCCAGGGTATAATTATATAAGGAAGAAATAGTTGAATCTTGCTGAGAATAATAAGTTTTAAAGTGATATGATATAGTGTGTAGTCTCATTGCTCACATCCCAGAAAGATGTAAACCATAAAAATAATATTGTGCCTTCCTGAAACTAGAGAAAGAAAAACAGATCTTTCAAAGATAATGAGTAGGAGGGAGGGTTGGCTGTGCGAATAAAATCCTTGCTGTGAGATAAGCTGTGTTCAGATCTCCATGTAAAAACAGGGTGTCTGAAAGCCCCGGACTCAGAGGTAGAGAAAGAACAATTTAGAATAATTCTCTGGCTAGGCAGTTTCTGAGTAATTGTGGCTCAGATTCAGTGCAACATCTAGTCTCGAAAAAAGTAGGGAGGGCATAGGCAGAGGAAGAAGACACCTAATGTATCTTTCACCTTGCAGACAAAGGTACTTGCACATGTAGTAAACACATTCATATAACTCATACATGCACACACACACACACACACACACACACACACACACCTATTTACATACAAAAATGAGTAAGCATTGTATAGACCTTAAACTGAATCCATGGAAGACTCCTCAAAAAGTATGTATTTGTTTTTCCAACTTCAAGCCTTCATGATGTCAAAGGTAGAATCTGGTGAGTGGAGATAGCCACAAAAATCTTTTAAAGGCAGAGACTTTAGGGTTTAGACTTCCTTAAATGATATGGGAAGTCCTTCTGTATATGCGTTGCTTTTATCGGTTACTGAATAAAGGTGTTCTGGGCAATGTCTTAGCAGAGTAAAGCCAGGCAGAAAATCCAAACAGAAAGAAAGAGAGAGAGAGAGAGAGAGAGAGAGAGAGAGAGAGAGAGAGAGAGAGAAAGAGAAAAGGCAGAGTCAGAGACGCCATGTAGCTGCCAAAGGAGAAAGACTCTGGAAACTTACCAGTAGGTCACAGCTACATGTTGATGTATAGATTAATAGGAATGGGTTCATTTAAGGTGAAAGAGCTAGCTAGGAATACACTTAATTTATTGGCCAAACAGTATTGTAGTTAATAGAGTTTTTGTGTTATAATTCAGGTCAGTGTTATAATTCAGGTCAGGGTTGCCAGGAAACCAGCACACAGTCCTCATTTACACTTCAGGCAACAATGTATATATATACACATATATATATATATGTGTATATATATACATATATATATATGGAGCAAACTATAAAGTAACAATAATTGTGAAAAACACTGACATATTTTTTTTGGAGTCTATTAAGGGCACATGAGGCCAATGTTATATGTGTGCTTAGGAGAGACCTAAGGAAAACTCTATGTTCTCACTTCTACTTGACCTTAAGCGTTCACACAAGCTAGACAGTGTATGCCAGCATAGACCCACAAGTTTCCTCTTTGAATGTTGATAAAAGAGTGCTCGTGTGTAATAAACTCTACCTAGGGCTGCCTGGGAAGGATTAGATTGTTTCTGTTTTTAGTCATTTAAGGAAGACTTTGTGCATTCATAATATAGATGTCTACCAAGCTAACGAACAGACTTCAGTGGTCCCAAACTAAGATGAGAATACAGATGCACACATGATATCAAGACAATATATAAAAACAAGAAGCAAAACTGATGTTTCATATGAAAGAGGCACCCAATATAGTTATTATTTCACAATTGTATATATCTGTGCTCAGAAGACACTGGGATCTTGTATCCAGTGTGTTGAAAAACTGTCACCTGTTAATTCTAACCAATCCAAACTAAATTTAGAAAGCTAAGCAAAAATTAAATATTCTTTTCAGAGTAATTAAAAAATAAAATTATGGAAATAAATATATGCCAGATTTTATTCTCAGCATCAACATAATTTCAGATAGACAAAAACAGAGTAAATATTGTCATTAGTAGAAATTGAAGAGAGTATCATCAACATGAATGAAAAGATGCTGGATTATAGCACAAATCCACAGAGGACATAAGGATCAATAGTCAAGATTATTCTATGAGCAAATATAGCAGATAGTTTAAATTTACTTCTTTGGCATCTTGTTTTACTCAGAGTTTGAAGTTAAATAGAAAGTGTGAGAGTTAAATATCCATATGAAACAAGTATAAAGGTATAATGATAAAATTTGTGATGGAGTTATAGTAAGGTAAAATGTGTATACAGTTAACAATAAGTTGGCATTATCTAGATTATATTATTATAAACTTTAGTGCCCAAGAAAACCACTAAGAAAATAGTTCAAAATGCAATGTTTACAAGCATCATGTCTTTCTCTGTTTCTTTTTACAATATAGATGTCCATATACTCTAACATTCATTTTTTTTCAGGCTGAAAGTTTAAGAAGAGGTGGATCGATTTGCTTAGCGCCTAATGAGAGCCTAATAGCAGATGACATCAGAATGGTTAGGAGTGCTTCCTGAAAATAATCGATAGTGAGATAGAATCCCAGGGCTATTCAAGGACAAGTCTTGAACATTCTCTCCCTCCCTCTCTCTCTCTCTCCCTGCCTGCTTCTTGTTCTCCCTCTCTTCCCTCCTCCTTCTCTTACTTTCTCCCTTTGCTTTCTCCCTGTCTTATTCCTAATTGGTGGCCTCAATTAGAATCGCACGCTACCTCAATATACATTACCTTAATATATTTTGTGAATGAAACACTAGAGGGTATAAAGCTAAAAAATATTGAAAAGTATAAAATATCATCTGTTTTTAAAAAGATATAAAATTCATTAAGTTTTAGTTAGACTGATCACAACTAAAAGGAAAATGTCTCAGATCTAAAAGAGGCTTGAAATGCTCCTTCTGTTTCTATTGTGTGGAAAAATTTGAGGAGTATTGGTATTAGTTCTTCTTTGAAAATCTTGTAGAATTCTGAGCTGAAACCATCTTGTCCTGCCTTTTTTTTTTTTTGGTTGTTAGACTTTGATGACTGTTTCTATTTCTTCAGCCATTATAGGTCTGTTTAATTTGCTTATCTGGTTTTGATTTAATTCTGGTAAGTGATACTCATCCAGAAAGTTCTCCTGTACCTAGATGACAAAAAGGGCTGGGAAAGAAATCAGAGAAATAACACCCTTCACAATAGCCACAAACAGCATAAAATATCTTGGAGTATCTCTCACCAAACAAGTGGAAGACTTGTATGACATGAACTTTCTTTGAAGAAAGAACCGGAAGAAGTCACCAGAAAGTGAAAAGATCTCCCATGCTCTTGGGTAGGCAGAATCAACAGTAAAAATGGCAATCTTACTGAAAGCAGTCTACAGATTCAAAGCAATTCCAGCAAAATTCTTCACAGACCTTGAAAGAATGATACTCAACTTCACATGGAAAAGCAAAAAACCCAGATAGCCAAAATAATCCTGTACAATAAAAGAACTTCTGGAAGCATCACAATCCCTGACTTCAAACTAAAGGGCTACAGTTCTTTCAAGTGACTTTAACTTGTATCAAATTGATATAAACCCATCTAGCACAGCTTCCTACTTCACTTTTTGGTGCTATTAATCAGAATGATGGCCTCACTCAAACTGTGTGACCTCAATATTCCACAACAACATCCTCGAGCCATCTGCTTTCTGTTCCTTTTGTGTATCTCTCTGTTTGCAATTCAGCTTTTGATGGACCTTAAGTTGATTGTAGTCTTTTGATTGCTGGTGCTGCAACTTCCTGCCTGGCACCACCTTTTTTTTTTCTAGCTCATAAATGTGAGTTGTTTGTCCTCTGTGTAAAGCTATAGCACAAAGGAATTATTTATTTTTGGTGGGGGGGGGGAGTCAAATTGTATGAAGTATCCATTCATTTAAAAGTTTAAAATATCTCACAAATGCATACTGTATTTACATCATTTATCTCTCCCTTTGACCTTTTAGAATCCTCCTGTGTCCCACACTTGCTCTGAAATTTGTGGATTCTTATTTAAACATTGTTGCATATATAGAGAGAAAGACAGACAGACAACTAAGAAAGACAGCTTATTGAGTCCATTTAGTGCTGTTCATATGTGTATGTGATGAGAACTGACCATTTCCTTTGGGTTGTCTCTCAGATTTTTCCCTGGAGAAAAATGATTTTCCCTCTTTCTGCAGCAATCAATTTCGTGTATTTTTTTTTATCTTGGAATAGTATTTGTGGTTCTTGTCGAAAGGAGATTTCTATTTTACAAGTTCTGCTCTTAGCAATTTGTTTTATTTCTGACAAAATGGAAGTGATGTTACAAAAGAGCTCATACCTCTCCCAAACCAGAGATGATTCCATACATACACAGCAATATTTACTTTAAAAAAAAGGGTTAACCACTTGCCTATCATAATCCCTCTGTAATTAGTGTAGGGCTTTGCTCAAGTGCTTTTGCATGATTCATCTAAATAATACAAATAAATATCATCATGAGCATTGTTGATGAGTTTTTAAGTCAATGCTGATGAGTAACAGATCTCTCTAAAGTGCCTATGCTTTGTCATAATTCGCAGTGCCATGATACTGTCGGTATTGTTTTTTAAATATCAACTGTACTGAAAGAAAATGGAATCAGTATAGAAGCAAGTGAAAAATGAAGGTTCTGTTTGGTGTCTCTACCTCCAGAAGTATTCTCATACTATCCTGCTACACACAGCCGTATCGCACTGTTCTCTAACACTTTGTAGTGGATAGAAACGACAATGAAAGTAGCTCCCAGGGAAAGGAAAGAATGACTTCGGGATACTCTTTCTTCCCACCACTGATTGTGCACCTGGTTCTTGTCTTCTTTTACAGGAGTGACAACTGTTCTAACAATGACAACACTAAGCATCAGCGCTCGAAATTCTCTTCCCAAAGTGGCTTATGCCACTGCCATGGACTGGTTTATCGCTGTTTGTTATGCTTTTGTGTTTTCTGCCCTAATTGAATTTGCAACTGTTAATTACTTCACCAAAAGAGGATGGGCTTGGGATGGGAAGAGTGTAGTAAATGACAAGGTAAGTGCACGCTTGCTTCCCATTCAAGCTTGTCACAGAATTCTTTTAAAAATTTGATATTAAGACATTCAGTATTAGTTTTCAAAAGTTTGTTCTTCCTTGGAATTCTGTAAGGGTGCTTGTAGTGACGCTGCTTCAAGGCACTCCTCAGTGTCTGTGGAGTTGTTGCATATTCACAGGTGCTTTCTCTCGATTTCTGCACTTAGTAAGGGCGCTTTTTAATTCTAGTCTTCCATAGTGAAACATTTCAAGCTATTTATAGCTGTCTATTCGCTCCAGCTCGTACAACTGACCAGTCAGTGTACTGGAGTCTAGGTCTGTCTGTCCATAAAGTTCATGCCTTTATCCACCACAATACATTAGGATAGAACCCGGAAAGGAAACCTAGCACTTGTTTCACCTATTGAAGAATTTGGTTCTGACAATGGGTCAATGATTCTATGCGTTCATGCTGTTATCACCACTTTGTAAAAGTGAAGGTAGCCTTTTATTTTTATCATATCATATGTAGTAAATATGTGGATACAGAAATACCTCAGGATTGTCAAATTTCTCATGGGGTCTAATTATGTAAGCTTACTATTAATATTAATTTTTAAGATTATTGATACATAAATTTTCATGTTTCAAGTATTGAGACTAATGGGATATTTGTGTACAGATGTGTCAGTGATTTCCTTTCTAATTGTATAGGTTGGTTTCTGCTTTAGGATAAGACTTTGTACATATTCTCATGTGGTATTAATATTTTTATTAGTGGTAGAAACTTCTATTTGGAGAGTTTCTTTGAACACTATATTATATGATTTTTTATAAATTTGAGAACCTCTGTTGTGATTTGATTATTATTTTAGGTATTTGAATTTATATACATATTTGCATATTTAATTTCTATACCGTGTTACAATTTATTGAAACAAATTTTGAATGTTACAGTTTTTAAACTTGTTCTTTTTTTCTCAATTATATTGTATAGAAATTCTAGTTACAGTTCGTAGTTTATTTGTAAATTGTGTTTGCGTAGTAGCAGAAGTAGTGATAATATATTGAAAAGGACTTCATTAATTTTCTATGCTTAACTTCTGGTTTTTCTAGCATTTCCATTACATTTTATTGTTGATTTGTATTGTTTTCATTTCTCATACAGTGAATTGCTTTTCATTTTATCTTTGTGATTAATTCTCTTTAGCTATATTGGTTATACATACACTTTCTCCATAGATGATGAAGTAGGATGGTTCACCATAGGCTCTTTCAAAGTTGTTGTTGGGTAATTTTTATAATAAATATGGTAATACACAATAAGGGAACCTATTGATCTTAACTGAAAGGTATTACAAACTTTATGATGGTGGGCTTCCATGTGTACGCTATTCAGTTACATTATTAAAATGAAATTGGAGCTATAGTCTCTTAAGTTACTTTGAAAATAAGTAGGGGTTTAGAGTGGAAGGAAAACCAAGTAGAATGCCAAGCCGTGACGTGACTAGCTGACCGATTTTTAGTTGGGAAATAATAGTTTTCTTGATACATGGAATCTTTGTTCTTTTACAGTCAGTTTTCTACAGGTTGTCCTTTGCTTTGGTCATGTATAATTTAACTAAATACAGTCATATTGTCAGTCTATATGAAGAACATCCAGAGCCCATTCATTGTTTTATCAAACACAGAATATTCACTTGACACATAAAAATACCTAGAGATATATATCCATTCTGTGTGTTGTAAAACAAAAAAATGTGTACTTATATCTTATCTGCCTAGAATCTAGATTTTACAAAAAATATTGTGAACAAATATTATTTAAGGTTTCTTTTTTTCAAAAAAAAACATTTAAAAAGCCATACATTTATGCTTCAGCTTCTTTCAAGTCCCAGAAATGTGATGGACCGACCTTCATACTGTGCTAGCCTCAGTTGTGACATGAGTGAAGAAAATCTCATTGTAAAAGTGTACAAGTTCTGTACAAACTCTGGATCAAAGAGTCAAATTCTAAAGGACATACAAGTGTCTATTCATAGAGCCCCCAAGTACTTATAAATACCTTTTGCCATTTTACTGCCTCATACTATTCTCTTATGAGAATGTTTTGTTAACTTTCCATAAAAGCAAATAGGTACCTTCCCCTCCTTATATCATCACTCTGTCCACCCCTCTCCCCAGATTCAACTGTCTATTCACCACGCAGGCTCTATGAGATGAATTCTCCCCTGTCGCTTTCTTTTCCATCAGCTCTTAGTCCCTTGTACCCTGGAACTCTTTTATTTGCTGTTCCATAATTGGCTCTCCCTAATCTAATAGCATGTGAGTTTTTTCACCTCCCCTTGGGATCATCACTGAGCCTTCTGCTGCTATGCTGAGGACACTGTCTTGGGTCCAACTCAGTAACATTTTCTCTTTTCATTAAGAAATGCTTCAGTAACGTCAGCATCCTTTGCTCACACCCTGGCAGCTGCCACAATTTATTGCACACTGTGAAGTCCTTTGCCACAGTAAATATATTGAGCTTCACTTGAATGCTCATGTTCCCCAGAGAAAGCCAAGTCAGCCATCTTTGATGCTTTTTTGTGTGTCGTATTGTTTACAATGTGATTCTCAGATTCAAGGTTGTATTGGTAACTCTATACTAAACACATTATCAGTCCATTTGCTGTCATAAATCATATAATCCTTGCTTAATATTGATGTAAATTTCAGTTTTTGATGTTATTTCTGAGTACTTCTTTCCAACATTTTTGGGTCCCATGAAAAGTATAAGTATATATGCTTTCTTGATTTTTTGGAAAAAATTTATCATTTTTTTGTGATTGAATATTTGGACTTTAAGTCACTAATCATCATAATGATGGAATAACTATTTTAGGAAAACAGTTACCTCTAGTCAGTTGCCTAGTATCTTACATATTGTACATATTCTGTAAATATGGGAAGAATTATTGAAGTATTACCAATTCATAAACCTATAACCAATACTCTTGTTTACAGTTTAACATCTCATCTGTATTATAAACTGCATCTTTCATCTCCCAGGACATATATACATATATATATATATCAATATATATATACCATATATATATATACATCTATGACATATTTGTGCCCATCATATTCATATAGCCTATATATATACAATTATATATATCCATTCATAAATTATATATAATTCACACACACACACACATCTTATTGCCTAGTTGTTTCCCCCTGACTCTAACATTGAAACCTTTGAGAACTGTCTATGCATAATTTTTCCAGTTGTTTACAAAGTTTGTGAAGTACTGAAGAGAGGACTCAGCAGTTAAGAACATTGACTGTTCTTCCAGAGATATGGATTCCCAGTACCCACAAGTTGGCTGACAACAATCAGTACCTGTCGTCACAGGTGATCTGACACAATCTTGTGGTCTTTTATGACACTGGAAGGATAGTCTGTATATCTGAATACAGGCATGACAAACACTAACACACAAAATCAATAAAATTAGTAAGCTGAAATTCTTTTAAAAAGTCAAAAACTTAGAAAGTTGGGACAGAATAGATAGATACTTCTGGTATGTGTCTGGTGAAATCTCTGTCTTCTGTGGGAAAGTCTCTTGGTTAAATATTTTTAATAATTAAATGGCACCAGTAGCTTCAACTCAGATTCACTAAGGTGTTCTTGAGTACTGGAAAGCCTAGTGTTAGTGTGTACCACTGATATCTATAAAATTATTTTGACTAGGCAATAATGTAAGCATTAATAAGCATGGATATTGACAGCCTCTACCCCTGCCCACACACCACAGGGGGGAAAGCAAAGCAAAGAAAGGAACTGCCAAGCAAATAAAACAAAGCAAAAACAAAAAATTAAACAAAAAACAAACATAAACTACTTCTTCATCTTTTCTACATTTATGTCTTGGTACTTATCAGGAATTGATACCCCAATCAGGGACATGGCATAATGTCACATTACAACAAATGAGATTTTTCAGTTCCTGCATTAATTCATGCTCATTATCCTTCCTACAAACTTCATGATGTATCTCACTATTATTTTTACAGATTATTTGTTTCCTACCTTAAATAAAGTTTTATCTTTAATGCATATTGTTATCTTAAAGTTATCTAAAACATCATACACATCATTTAACTTTTCAGCTCTATAATGATTTACCTAGGATAGTAATTCAAAGTTAATATGGTGCAAATATGGGGTTTCCTTGTGGGTTTACTTATATGATGAATGGCAGACAGAATTTTTTAGGAGTATTATGCATTTATTCTTAAAAGCCTGTAAATGTTTTTAGTTTAAGGCTAAAAATTATTTTAGTAAAATTACTTGGTTAGGGACACACAGTTCACAAATGTTGAATCTGAAATACAAGCTATAAAGGCTTAGTGCTCATAGTCCAACTTAACCTATTACCAATGACAATCATTTCCCACAAAATCTCATTTGTCTTCATGTCTATATTATTTAACATGATGGATCTTCTTGATGTAATATCCTCTTTCCTTCCTTGACTTAACCTCAAATTTTGGAAACTAACATAAATAGTTGAACCCCTCTGTTTTCCCAGAGCATGAGGCACTAATTTCATTTTATCATTAGATTAGAAAACTTGAGAGAATTAAGTTTTGTCTGATTAGCTATTGTATCTTGTATCACCCAGCATGCTGCCAAGCATATGCCTAACCTTAGCTCTCTTTTCAAGCATTGTTAGCTTTAATTCAATTCCTTGACATTTTCACTTACAAATCTGAGACAGTAAGCTCAAATTGGATAATAAAAGTGTAGAATACACAAGATAATAAATCACATAAAATACAGATAAGACAATGTAGTACCCAAACTTATAGAATGGTCCATTGTCCTGTGATTCACTCTATTAATTTATAGATAACACCATATTTTAAAGTGTACTTAATCATTTACTTTCATTTATAAATTTAAATTTGTATCATATTTTGTGTATGGATGTTTTGTCTACATGTAAGTCTGTGTGCCATCAGTGCCTAGTGCCCATGGAGGCCAGAAGAGGGCATCAGATCTCCCAGAATTGGAGTTACAGATGGTTGTGAGCTGTAGCGTGGGTGCTGGGAATCTAACCCACATTTTCTGAAAAAGTAGCCAGTGCTCTTAATCCCGGAGTCATCTCTCCAGCCCCTTCTTTGCATTTTTGACATTGTCTTATTCCAACATAATTTCAGATAATTTATTAAAGGTCTATGTAATCAAATTATAATTATATTAAAAATATAAAGTAAAAGTAAGAAATGAGAATAGAAGAAAATTAGGTTCAAGTATCCTCTATTAGCTGGCTCACTGACAGTTCACAGTTGTAGTAATTATATTTCACATTCCAAAGTTTTTACTCAGCAAATTTGTAGAGGTGTTTTGGGAATTATGCTTTTAATCAAAAAAGAGGAAAAATAGTTTTTCATAAAGAAAAGATTTTTTCCTGTATTAGAAATGCTGTTATGTTAGGGTGAGCTGGGTACTATATCAAGTGATGTCCAATTTTCCACAATAAATGCTGTAATAAATTTTATATTAATGTCTCTTGTAGTCCCCTTCAATAAAATCTGAAGTCATTACATTAACACACAACTCAGTGAAGGCAATTCTTCAAGGAGCTAAACTAATATGGTCCAACTATCTAGCTTTCTCATGGTCCAGTTTAAGCCAAGCAAAGCCTTTAGAGTACTTAGAGAAGCGGATGGACTGTTTAACCTTCTCACACTCTTCTGTAAGTATAATTTTCCTCAGTCAGGATGGTTAGTCAGTTAATGGTAGTCTTATCTGGCAAGGGAGCATGTTGCCATTCTACAAGTACTGGACTTTCCAGTGACCATAAAAAACTGTAAGATGACAACATGGCATGGTAGAAAGAACATGCATTTGGCTTTGGAAATCTAGGTTTTTCCTCCATGGCCTGTTATATTGACTACTTGATAGGAGTTTTTATATGCTTACTCTAAGGACCAATCATTATCTGAAACCACATGACAAATATTTTCATTCATAGGACATGTCTTCTTATTGGTACCTATAGTTTAGTTACATAATTTGTTCAATTTGCTGGCATGTCATTTCCCTACCATGTAAAGGATTCCAACTTTGAAAAACAATTATGTAAAAACTTTTGTATTCAGCAATAAAGATTCCTCTAAATGTGACATTTTAAATATAAATCAACAGTCCCCAATAATATATTTTTTATTAATTTATAAAAATTTCCACTTCCGCCCTCTTCCCAATACCCTCCCACTCCCCCGACTCCCTCTCCTCCTCCCTCTCCAGTCTAAGAGCTGTCAGGGTTTCCTGCCCTGTGGGAAGTTCAAGTTCCTCTCACCTCCCTCCAGGTCCAGGAAGGTGAGCATTCAAACAGACTAGGATCCCAAAAAGCCAGTACATGCAGACGAAACAAGTCCCAGTGCCATTATCAATAGCTTCTCATACAGCCCCCATGTCAGTCACATTCAGAGAATCCGGTTTGATCACGTGCTCGTTCAGTCCCAGTCCAGCTGGCCTTGGTGATCTCTAATTAGATCAGTCTCCATGTATCAGTGGGTGAACGCACCCCTCGCGGTCCTGACTTGCTTATTCATGTTCTCCCTCCTTCTGCTCCTCATTTGGACCTTGGGTACTCAGTCCAGTGCTCCAATGTGGGTCTCCGTCTCCATCTCCATCCATCGTCAGATGAAGGTTCCCTCTGATCCTGACTTCTTTGCTCACGTTCTCCCTCCTTCTGCTTCTCATTTGGACCTAGGGAGTTAAGTCCTGTGTTCCAATGTGGGTCTCTGTCTCTATCTCCATCCATCTCCAGATGAAGGTTCTATGGTGATATGTAAAATATTCATCAGTATGGTTATGGGCCAAGGTCAGTTCAGGCACCCTCTCCTCTGCTGCCCAGGGAACAATCTGGGGACCTCTCCTTGGACCTGGGAACCCCTCTAGAATCCAGTCTCTTGTAAACCCTAAAATGGCTCCCTTAGTTGAGATATATACTTCCCTGCTCCCATATCCATCCTTCCTCCCTCCCCCCCATCCCATTCCCCTAAACCATCCCCAATCCTCCCCTTCTCCCTTCTCTCTAACCATCTCCCCTTACTTCCAACCCCAACTCCCCGTGCACCCAAGTTTGCCTGGCAATTTTGTCTACTTCTAATATCCAGGAGAGAAATGGGAGGATGGAAGGAGGTGGAAATTTTAAATAAACAAATAAATATTTTTTTTACAAAAAGGGAAAAACATGTATTTGTTACTTTAGAAACTCATTTCATAATGCTATGGGGAGACTTGGAAATGCAACTTAAGACAAGCAGTAAGAGGTGATGCCTCACTGAGGACAACACAAAGCTTTGTCATTACTAATATGGTATGAATTCCAGTTATCTGACTTGAGGAACAAGGCAGTTTAATTATGAGATCCTGGCTGAATTGTGGAAACATTCACAGGATAAGGAATGTGCAGAGGTGGGTGTGCATTGGTCAGAAAGAGAAAACTTTTAGGCTGAGCTTGTTTAATTACCCCCAAAACAAAAAGAAAGTGAAGTAGGGTGGTTGAGATTGGTAAAAAATGATTTAAATGATTTATTTTTATTGGTCCTCTGTGTATAGGTCCTAGCAATTTCCTAAATTTTGTAAAATTTAACATTGTTTAATTGCCTTTGTTTATGCAATTCTTTTTCTAGTTGAATACATTCTTAATTTTAATATTACATTTTTTAAAAAATTTGCTTCTGACATCTAGCCTGGATTTGTATCATTCTGTTTTCTGCTGTATTTCTCCAAATGACAGAGAATGACTTACTCAGTGCTTGGATATTGAAAAAACATATTAAATTGGAGTATAATGAATTAAGTAATAGGAAGAAGGAGAACTTCTCTAGTTTTCTAAAGAATCAAAACAATAGAGAAATATCACAGAATGACTTCCTGAAACTGAATTCTATAGTATAGTTAGCACAATAGGTTTTATTTTATAATTTCTCTTCAAGTATATAGGTATAAGCCAAGAATTAAACACTAAAGTAAGTACAGCTGAGTGAGATTAGTGTCTCCTGAAATATTCCACTGGGACCTGTCTTAATTCACAGCCTGAATAATATTCAAATATCTCCTTATAATGACCTTGTTATAGCAGTCAATTTTGCACCAAATGAGGTTCAACCTTCTGGTAATGATTTATGTGTGAATGTTTTCTGATAATATAGCTAACAAATTTATTTCTTAAAAACCATGGACTAAAGAATGGTAAATGTAGTTTATTCATTCTTCGAGAAAGTCACACAGTATAACGTGTGTCTGATCATATCCATTCCCTATTTCCCTCCAACTTCTACTAGACATGCCCCCATATTCCCTCTGAAACTGATGTCACTCTAATTTTATGTTGTTTCTATCCCATCATGTCTAATGCTTGCTACCCTATGTGTTTGGATATGAGGTTGCACACTACATAATGCATGGGAAACCAACCAGTGGCCACATTCCCTAAGAAAAATAGCTCCCCCTTCTCCAGGGACTATCGACTGCAGTAGTTCCTCATCTGTGGATGGAGCCTCATGAGCCCTTTCCCTATTTAGGCTGGAATTTTGATTGCATTGATTGTGTGCAAGCCTTCTGCAGGGAACCAAGTTGCTGTGTTCACAGTGCATGGCCATTGCATGTCTTAAAATCAACACTTTACGGGATTTCTCTCCATTTCAATATCTCTAACAAGCTTTCTCCTCCCTCTTTGTTGATATTCTCTGAGTCTTAGTATGTCCCAATTAGGGTTCAGCACTCTTGTTCATTTATTCTCAGCATTTTGATTGACGATGAGTGTCTGGATTAATCACTGCCCACTGCCAAAAGAAATAACTCTAACATTGAGAACATTATATAATTATGGGCATCAACATATACATTTAGAAGTTGGTTTGACAGTGTGATTATTGATCTAAGTAACAGTAGTAGGTTCCTCCCTAGGGCTATGAGTTCTTCACCTGCTGACACCAGTGTAAACACAAAGCCTGAATTCCCTCTTGTGGAGCATCTTTCAGATTCTATCAGAAAGTGTTTGATTACCCTTATACCATATTGTCTGGTAAGTCAGTATTGTAGTATATAGGGGCCAAGCTCTGTGAGAAATGCTTTTCTCCTGCACCGGACTGCATAACCGCTTCCACAACTGTGAAAGCTAGCCATCAGGGAGGAGTTCTCCTGGTCAGTGAGAATATAATTTCAATAAAACATCTTATGCCATAATTCTGCTATCAACTCAAAAGTATATTCCTCTGTGCATATTTACTTTTAAACAGAGAATCATTGGACTTATTTATATGCATACTTAATTTTCAACGGCACTGAGAAGAACAAGATTCCCTTTAAACAAGATATCAGGAATGCTGTATATGCTATGTCTAGGAGGAGAGGGGACAGGACAGACACCATATTGGATGGTCTACATATCATTCAGTGAACTGTTTAGAGTTCACCTGCCAAGAGATAGGATGTGCGACTGCTAGACTTCCATGCTGATGACATGAAAATGGTTAAGTTTCTCACTTCCAAGGAAGTGTTTTGAAGGAAAATCAGCCATTTGTTTCATGCTTAGCCCAACTCTGATTGGTGTACTTTAGATATTAAAGGTGTACTTTCTATAATGAATAAATAAGATTCATTTTTATCTTTTATAGTTAAGACAATAAAAATTCCAAACACTCATTAAAAATGCACTTCTTTCTTTTTCTTTTTTTTTTAAAGAGTCTACACTATTATGACAAAACAGACAAAAGAGCCAAAAATATACCCAGGCTGGTATTTGGTTAATAACTACTGATGGAGGCCTTTTGCCATTGATGTATATTTTGTACCTGTTTCCCATTTATTAGCAATTTTACTATTAACTTTATATATTTACAATTGGAAGAAGAACCATTGCTAAAAATTAAAATATCCTTTCCATCTATAAATGTAGGCAGCGGCTGTTTTTCATTCCCAGCTGCCCAAACCCAAATAAAAACACAGGAGCTATACTACTTACAACACTGCTTGGCCAATGACTCTAGTGTATTCTTAACAAGCTCTTACATCTTGAATTAACCCATTTTTATTAATGTATGTGTTGCCACGAGGCTTGTGGTTTACCAGTAAGGTTCTCAGGTGTCAATCTCCTTCAGCAACTACATGGTAACTCTTTGACTCTGCCTAATTGCTCCCTGCTCTACTGGAGACTGCTCATTCATTTCCTGGCTGCCTAAACCCAAAATAATTACACATAAATTATATTATATTAATTACAACACTGCTTGACCAATAGCTTAGGCTTCTTATTAAGTAACTCTTACATCTTAAATTAACCAATTTCTATTAATCTATGTGTCATCACAAGGCTTGTGGCTTCCTTATAAGGTTCTCTGCTGTCTGTCTCCTTTGGCAGCAACATGGCATCTCTCTGACTCTGCCTACCTTCTCTCAGCATTCAGTTTAGTTTACCTGACTAGCTTTTTTCTGCCCTTCTATAGGCCAAAGTTACTGTATTCATTAACCAATTAAAAAAACACATATACAGAAGAACTTTTCACACCATGTAAAATTTACTGCAACAAAATATATCTTTAACTAACTGTCTTAAATATTACACTGTAATTTCTAGTCTAATTTTAATGACCCATTTCTATGAAACTCTGAGTCTTTCCATTTGGTGTTTATGTAGACTTCCCTAAATACACAGTAAATTATATAATAATAAAGCCTATGTATCCTTTTACAAGTGATCATTGTCTGGATTATTATAGGTAACAATTACCACTCAACATCTCTTGGAGAAAATGATTTCATAATGTGAGTACGGCATGTGTTAGTTCAACTATATATTACAGAGAGCCAGTATAGTGTTTTTATCTGTCTCTCTTACATTTATCAAACAGGAAGCTAGAGCAGAGAGTGGCCAAACTCATTCTCTTTACATTCAATCAGATTATTTTTAATGGGGTTTAGACATATTTTACATAATAGCAGAACCAGCATGTTTTATACATTTCCTGTATTGTTGAATACTTTTTGTTGATGGGCATAGTGATATAATCCTCAGCAGGGACATTTTAGGTAGAAATATTGCAATCCAAAAGTTTAAACAAAATTTTTAGACAGCCATTGCAAAGCTGATACCTCTAACTGCTGTGACTCTTTCCCCAACCATTTCACAGATGGGAGTCTTTGTCATACTTTATGGTAGTTCTATAGTCTTCATCCCTAAACTAATAACATGGCACTAATGTGAAACTTGCTTCCTATAATTTAGTTAACTCATTGCTGGTTCATTTTTTTAGCATGTACATGAATCACACTATACTCATACTGTATAGTAACAGATAAATAGTATTTTATTTTCAGGGTCCACTCATCAAAGATATGCTATACCTATCCCCATGAATGCTATTAATGTAAAGTTCCATGTCATGTATTCTTATGCTGAAGTTACAAAACTCAACAAGACAGAGACACCATCAGCCCTCATTGAATTTAGATTTTTATGAGAACATAAAATGTCAATTAAATAATCACATGGTAAAGGAAGTGCTTGTATATCTTAATAAGTGTTATGATAGACCCAAATTGAAGTACCCTGAGACTGAATATGTGAGGGACAAAGATTGTTTTAGGCTTAGTGTAAAGGCAAGGCATTTCATGGAAATTATATTCAAATTTGGAGTAAAGTACAAAAGGAAATTAGTCATGTGAAAAATTTGGTGTATAGAAAGAAATCTAAGATGGGATACCCCAAGATATCTGAACAAGAAACAGTGTAGAACACTAAAGTTATTCCACAGGGGTTTGTATGTAGTGAAAATGAGAAGGAATAGTTTTAAAAAATGCTGTTTGTTTGTATTCTTTGGTCCTTGAACTTCTGTTGGAAAGATTTAAGAATAGTAATGTTGTGACGTAATTGGTTTCCAATGGTTCTCCTGTATCTATAGTGGCTAAAGACTTAGCAGGGTTTGGCCAATATAGAAGAACACGAAGGGAAATTGTTTGAAGCAAGTGATAGGAGCTGAGACAAGAGCTACTGATACCCACACTGGAAATCCTTCATTGATAAAACAGAAAAGGGGAAGCAGGCAAGGGAAGCTAAAAAGATAGAATTTATATCTTCTTATTACAGTAGTGATTTGTAGATTTCTATTTGCATAGAATCACAATTGTTTGCAGTCTTAAAGCATTGCCTTACATGTTTGCCATATTGTGAGTTAGAGTTCTGCTACCTGGAAAAATGTGAGATCATTCATTTATTATTGATGATCATAGCTCTTCTTTAAAATCCTTAAGTTTTATGTAATTATTCACTTAATAATTTAAAAAGTGGGAGGGTGTTGGGAGGAGGGGTGGAAATGAAAACTTTCATAATTTAATAAACTTTAAAAAAATAAATAAATAAAAAGTATATATGAGTGACTTGTAAGAGTAAAAATATTGAAATTTTACAATTTTTAATATCATTCTTTTTCCATGTAAACAAAAATTGGTACTCTGGGAAGATGGAGCCTGTATTGTAGTCTATGAGTTTCCTCACTCAATGTTTTTTAGGACTTTATTTTACTTACATTCCCTAAATTCTTTTCTCTGCAAATAATGATGCATATTTGAGTACCTTGTCTTTTTTTTCTAGAATTTAAACTGTAGTTGGGAAAGTATTAAGAAGCATATTTAACCCACACTTTATTACTTTTGTATTTCCCAATAGAAAAAAGAGAAAGGTTCCGTCATGATACAGAACAATGCCTATGCGGTGGCCGTTGCCAACTATGCCCCAAATCTTTCCAAAGATCCTGTTCTCTCCACCATCTCTAAAAGTGCAACGACACCAGAACCCAACAAGAAGCCAGAAAACAAGCCGGCTGAAGCCAAGAAAACCTTCAACAGCGTCAGCAAAATTGACAGAATGTCTAGGATAGTTTTCCCAGTTCTGTTTGGTACATTTAATTTAGTTTATTGGGCTACCTACTTAAACAGGGAGCCTGTATTAGGGGTCAGTCCATGAGTCTAGACATTGGTTATTTTTGGCTATAGCAACATTACACTTGATTTATTTTGCTATGTACAGTCTGACTAATAACTGCTAATTTATGTCCCAATATGTACAGTATGTATATAGTGGTAGAGCTTATCAGTAGACCTCTAAAGGGGACTTGCATTTGCTAACTCATGGAAATACAGGCAGAAAGCATCCTGTGCCAAAAGAACTATTGCCTTCTAAAAGCGATTTACCTTAGGATCTAGTTTAAAGGGAAGTTCAGATTATGCAATTTATTTTCTAATATTATGATTATGATAAAAGTTGAGATCCAGTGTCACCCTTTGTGAAACCTTTGAATTAGATATTACATAGAAAAAAATCAAATGTTACCTAAGGATGATCAGAGATTAACATTGTCACCCAAATATGAGTTCTGACTATTTGAACATCTCACCTCTGATCTGTTCCCGTCAGGAGTATTCAGAACCCCTGCTAGAGTAATGGGAAGCTTGACACACATAAGAAGAAAGATAGAGATGTGAAAACAGCTTTTTATTACTATGTAGAATATCTATAGCCATGTGCATATTACATGCATGAAAAATTCACGTAACTATGAGTCACAATGACAGGCTGTTGATTTTGCTGAAATTTAATAATTATTGGAGTGTCACAGCCATTACCTTTTTATCTTCAGAGTTTATTTGAACATAGTAACTGAAACCTAAAGGTCACTACTATCATTGGAAACTACCTAACGTTATAAAAAGAAGAAATATGGACGAGTCTGTCCAGGTATCTGTTGTCTGCTGAATTTTCCTGGTGCTGGAGAGTGGGAGAAAGTAGCTATCTTGGCTGCAATGGATCAAAGTTCATTCATCCCAGAATAGAAAGTTGTGCCAAAAAATCCAAGCGATGAGAATTCCTAGGTGTCCCAGGCCCAGATGCGGACTTCTATGATTCTCTGCTTTCCTGTTTACTGCAAATTCTGCCTTAAGGCTTCTTCTCATTGGGACTCAGAAGCCACTAATCACAAAGGAAAGGGCAGTTCGTTGGCACATTTTTCTGTCTGGAAAGAAGCTCTTTCAGATAAGAATTAATATAAATCAGGTTTTGTAAATTGCAACTTTAAATTTCATTGACTCGAATTTACAGCAGCTTTGTATACCAGAAGAGGTTTTGGTAAGAGTTGAACATTTTTAAATCACAATTTTAAAACATCATCAACAGATTATGGATTATGTCACAACACACACACACACACACACACACACACACACACACACACACAAACACCATGTAGCTAAATTAGAAAACAAAGACATGATTTTTCAATTTTATATAACTACTGATTGTTAATGGGTAAAATTCATTTTTTTCTTTTAGTATTTAAAGATATTATTTATGCCCCTGGAATATGCTAAATTTAAGTGTGTTTCTGTCAAAACCAAATTATCTTTGACTGATATGTACATTAGCAGTTATTAGTTGACTTTTAAAACTAAGTGCAACTTCATGATGATGTTTTTGTAGAAACCTAAGTAGTCAAATAGTGGCATTTCTTGCAATTTTGTACAGTATTTGAGTATAGTGCAAAACAGGTCTGTTCACAAAATCAATAAAAGGGGCATCTTCTGGAAATAAGCAAACTCAAAAAAAATCTGCTGTTCTTTTGCTTCATTCAAATTTTTAATATTCTTTTCTAGTGCAATTATATTACGTGGTTTGCATGACTGTATAAATACCAGGACCACAGCTGCATCTTAGTAACAAAACTCGCTACAAAGACAGCCTTGACGTTAAAAACGTCGTCACGCAAAGTAATTCTTTAACCTTAATAAAATTATTACATGAGCCAATAAATGTATTTTGTTAATTCCCTTCCAGTTACATCTTCTCCATCATCTAAATAATTTTAAAGTGTGAATATCATCCATCCAATGAAATAAAAGATACTCTCTTTTCTTAAGTACTTATATGCTGAAACATCTCTTGTGGAAAACATAAGGATTGTTGTAGCTGTGTGTGACAGAATGTGGTATTTGAAGAAAAGTTACAAGATTCTTTTTGTAGTGTGTGTTACCAGCGCTTTAAGAACAGTTTCAGGTGGCTGTGGAGAGTTTGGAGGTTTAAGAGTAAATACTTCTCTTGCAGAGGACTTGATTTCAGTTCCCAGCACCCACATAGTGGCTCACAAGTACCTGTGACTCTAGCTCCAGGACATCTGATATTCTGTGCAAGACGCCATGGGCACCCTCAGATATCTGTGCACATACCCCACCCCACATAATTAAAAAATGAAAATGAAGAGTTGAAACTCCTGCCATGCCCCTTTACTCTCCGATTATAAGTTATATATTGTTATAAATATGTACATATGTAAAAATAGACCTAAATAATTTTCCACGGCTAATCAGAAAAGATCCTTCTGCTGTGATTATGTTGGTGGCAGAACTTTGCTATTTTTTTTCTTGCAGATGGAATAGAAAACTTATCATTACTGGTATCATTTGAAATAACAGAATTAGATTTTTTTATTTCAGTCATGAAAAGTCTAATCAAATGTTAATAAAATTAGTCACTGTAAGCGCACCTTTCACAAGATATTTAACATATATTAATATTTGTTCATTTGACTCATCAAATGGGAGGTTAATTATGCAGTAATGTTGTATAAAGACATAGACAGTCGTGGTGTGTGCAGAACGTATTTTTATAGAGAGCCATAAGCACATTATATAACAATTTCTCCAGATGTCTCTTATTTTTGCTTTTCCATTTGTAACACTCCCTAAGTCTAGTATAAACATCACTTATATTTAGCCACAGACTCCAGGTGATTATTGGATTCTTTTCCTTATAAATAGCTAAAGGCTTCCATGAACCTGTAAATTAAATTAACATTGAAAAGTTATCAACTATATGCCTACTATGCTAAAACGTGAACTGTTTTTCTTTTTTCTCCTACTTTCTTTAACAAAGAATATGGTAATAAGGTAAACAAACAACACCCATTGATTTTTAGATGGCAATCCATATATTTCAAGATATTTTCAGGGATGTATTGCAAATTCTCACAAGGTTTGATGCATGAACTTTTGGATAATATTTCTAAAACATTCCCTTAAATAGTTCACATTTTGTTAAAATTAATCAAAAGTAAACATTTTCTTTGACTAATAAGTTTCATTTAGATAGAGATATATTATAATGTTTATATGGAGAGAGATTTTTTTCTTCTTATTTCACAAGTACTTATGTGACTTTGCATTTTTGGTTGAAAGAAATGAACTCTGATACTATAGACTATATGATATATAAATATTATGGGATGGCCTGTCATTACTAGAGAGAAGGAGGAAGCAGCTTGTCTTGCTCTGCTCAGTCCAGAAGCCCCAATAGTTACAAAGGACTTGTCCTGTGTGCTTTTATAAATTTCACACCATCAGTCACAGATCTTTGAAACAGGATCATTGGTGACGTAACTGATACTAAACATGTGATATGTGTGATTAAATTTTCAACATCCCGATGCAGTTACATAGTCTTGAAACAATTATTAGATTTACTTTCATTTGAAATGATTCAAAATTTCAAATAAATCTTGAGAGAAGCGGTTGCTGACCCAAAATACTATTTATTTTCATTTACTTTAGGTCTCATTAATTCTTTTTCCATTTCCTTTTAATACCCTAATAATTTATCTTGTTTAAAGTCAGTAAACTGTGTTTTATTGAAACATTTCATAACACAATCTGGTGTAATGTTATTGTCTCACACAAGAAGACCAGATCTATTTGCAATAGCTAATAACAGTACAATAGATACAGGGTTTAGATACTAAATTATACATAGAAACTACCCCACCTGAAATTTAAAGATTAAAGAATATAATAGAGTGTTAGAAGGGGCAAAGCCATTTTTAGCATATGTATGTTTAGAGCCATAAACACTGTATAAAAGCCACTTACAGTCATGTGGACCAGACTAATTACAAAATATTTCTCTAATGAGATATTTCTCTATTGAATTTTTGCTTTAAATGAAAGTAAGTACTTATTAAAATTACTATTAGCATTTATATTGAGTTTATTAATTTTTTAGGTTTTAACAGTTCATATTTTCAGCAAATCTAAAAAGCAAAGTGAAAAATACATATCACAGGGAAAACTGAGGGTGTTACTAATGGACATAAGTGAAAGATTTCTCCATTTCAAATCTTTTTTTTTCAAAGTTTATTAAATTATGAAAGTTTCCATTTCCACCCCTCCTCCCAACACCCTCCCACTCTCCTCTCCCCCCTCCTCCTCCCTCTCCATTCCTAAGAGCAGTCAGGGCTTCCAGCCCTGTGGGAAGTTCAAGTTTCTCCCCCTTCCCTCCAGGTCCAGGACGGTGAGTATCCAAACAGACTGGATCCCAAAAATCCAGTATATGCAGAGGAAACAAGTCCCAGTGTCATTGTCAATGGCTTTTCAGAAAGACTCCGGGCCAGTCACATTCAGAGAATCCAGCCACATTCAGAAAATCTGGTTGGATCACGTGCTCGTTCAGTCCCAGTTCAACTGGCCTTGGTGAACTCTCATTAGATGAGTCCCCTTGTTTCAGTGGGTGATCGCACCCCTCGCGGTCCTGAGTTTTTTTTCATGTTCTTCCTCCTTCTGCTCCTCCATTTCAACTCTTAAGAAAGTGATAGACATAGAGAGAGAGAGACATAGAAATAGGGAGAGAAAAGTATATGTACTTATATGTACAAAGAAATAGTTAAATGTTATGAATATATCATTATATGTGTGATAACTAAGTATTAAAATTTATAAAGTTCCAGTAAGAGGTCTTTGGGTAGAAAAATTGATTGGTAATAGTGTATCTTCATAATCTAAAAACCTTTAAATCTGATCACATAATTGACACTATATATTCCATCATCATTAATTGAAATATTTTATTTATTTGGTTTTGCAGAGAGCATCTTTTATAGGTTACTTTTGCTCCATTTCAGAGAAAAATATTTTAAATTTAATTTATAATATCATTAAATATTGCCAGAAGATAATACAAAGCAAGGTTACATTGTGTGTATCTCTCTGAGTCTGTGGCACGGTTTGTGTGTTGGTGGTGGGGCTGTGTGGTGTTCTGGATATATGAGAGCATATCTGGAAAAATTCAGATGACTTTATAAAATCTGAAACATTTATTTTTTATATATGTCGTACCACATTTAGCCCCTAACGAACTAGCAATTAATTTAGCAGAATAACTTTTTTCATAGAGGCAGTACAATGTAAAAGTTTGAATTGAGCTTGATTTATAGACTACAACACCCTTTCTCTGTAAGTATAAATATGTTCCCACAGCACTTATATTTGGTTTTCTTTTGAGTCTTTTTTTTCTTTACTTTTTAAAAATTTATTTGTTTTACATCCCAACTTCAGTTTCCCCCCCTTCCTGTCCTTCGATTTTCCCCTTCCCCTCAATACACTCCTCCTCTGTTTTTGTTAAGAATGTAGCAGGCCTCCCATGGGTATCAGCAAAACATGACATTTTAAGTCGCAGTAAGACTAATCGCCTAACCCCTTATTAAGGCTGGACAAGCAATCCATATGAGGAATAGTCAAGAGTCAGTCAAAGCATTCGGGACAGCCTTTACTGCCACAGTTAGGAGTCCCATAAGGAGACCAAGCTACACAACTTTCACATACATGTAGAGGGCCTAGGTTGGCCCCATACAGACTTTCTAGTTGTTGGTTCAGATTCTGTGAGTTCCCATGAACCAAGTTAGTTTTTTTTTTCTTTTTTCAGTGAGTTTTCATGTAACGTCCTTGACCACTCTGTCTCTTCCAATGCTTCCTCACTTCAGTGGGAACCCTGAGTTTTGCCAATTATTTTACTGTGGGTCTCTGTTTCCATCAGCTACTGGATGAAGGCTCTCTGATTACTATGTGGTAGTCACCAATTTGATTGCATGACTTTACAGGAGGTGGCCAGTTCAGGCTACTAATCCACTACAGCTAGGAGTCTTAGCTGAGGTCATCCTTGTAGATTTCTGGGTGTTTCCCTTCCATGAGGTTTCTACCTGATTCCAGTCATCTCTTTTAGTACTCTACCTCTCCATCCACCCCGAACCTGATCTCTCAAGTTCCCATGCCCACCCCTCTCAGGAGATTTATGCATCCTGCCCCTACTCTCAGGCCCTCCTTGTGACCTATCCCCTCTGGGTCATTGAATTGTAGTATGGTTGTCCTTTAAATTAATGTCCATTTATGAATGAATATGTATCATGTTTGTCTTTCTAGGTCTGGGTAACATCACTTGGAATGATTTTTTTCTAGTTCTATCTGATTTTGTAAGATGAAAAAATATCTGAATTCCAAGTTTCCCAATGGAAGTTTCTGAAATATCTTATTAAAAATCAAATTTCTAGTAATATGCATAAATCTTAGAATGTAATAATTATTAAGTTCTCTTTCATATTAAAAGTTAAATATCTGAAGGATCACTAATAACAAATGATTTTTAGTGATTGATAAATTTCACAACTTGTTAAGGTGAATGATTTTTAATACATTCTAAAAGAAAGTTAGATATATGTTAAACATGTTCTAAATTCACACACATATGCACACACACACAATCACATACACTCTCAGATACTCACACACAAACTCTCACACAAATTCCCATGAAGTATTATCCCATTCAATTATTACAAAACTTCAATAACTATGTCATGAGAAGCTCTGCAATGTTTCAATTTTATATAACAAAACATCAACCTCGCATATTGTTAGAGAAACTTAACAAAGAATACGTGTTTTTTTTTTCTTGGTTTGCATTTATGCTCCGAACTTTTTGAGATTATTCATCCCAGTAGAAGGCGTCTACCTATGTTTCCACACGACAAAATCAAGGGAAATATATTGCACATCAACTCAGTGTCCATGTTTGTGATGTTGCTCATTCACTAACATTGGTTAAAAACTTATTTTTTAGAATGTCCTGAATTTTCCATACTTACTCAACAGATATTTTAAAAATTCTTATGAAAAAGCCCTACACTGTTTATTTCTTTGTGTTTTTTTTTATTTTAGCAGTATTTTTTCTTATTTTCCACATTGTTAGTTTGTGTAACCCAAATATATGACTTAAAGGATTTTGTATCAATTTATCAAAACTTTTGTGGTAATTAATTATGTGTAGAGACAAAAGTCTAGATACCAAATGAATGTTATTTCTATGACTGCGGAGTAGGAACTACTTCACTTAGCACCGTATTTTCAGCCTTCATGCCTGTGTAGATTTACTTTTTTACAACAGGCTGCAGAACGTGAGCTGGCATAATTAAATGACTGTGAAGGAGTCACTGTGGAAGCAATCTTACATGCCTGTTTCCAGATTCTCTTCTTACGGTCCTCAGGGCAGGAGCTGTGCTTTGCTCCCAGTCTAGCATGTCTGTGTATAAAGAGGCAGTGACTCTCAACCACTTAGCCACCATGACCACAGATTAAGTCTCTGTTGGTTTCTTATTAATATCTCATGTCTGTGCCTATCTGGGGTTGACTTTCGATGATAGTGTTTTGGTTGGTAGTTTTTCCTGGGCAGACACAAAGTCAAGCTGCAGTGAGGAATAGGAACTTCATGCCATCATCCTCAAAGAGAACTCTTACGTGGGAACTTTATTCATTTTGGCTTAATTAAGTGTTTATCAAGCTATGTTTAAAATGCCACCATGCTTTTCTTTTGGCCAGAAGAAAAAAAAATATTTATAAGTGATGTTATTCCTCCTTTTGAAAAAATGAATAACCACCAAAAACGATCTCTGTCA